GTTGATTAGATAGTTGCATTAATGAGAAATTGAACAGGTGTTCCTAATAATCCTTTAGGTGAGTGTAAATAGCTGATATGACAAGAAATTACCATGCATTTTTACCTCTATACCGGTAATTAGCATATACAGGTTAAAATGCATGATTATTTCTTGTCATATCAGTGCAAATGCACATGTATGTACGCATTTGCACTGTCACAGCAATGGATTGCCGCACATATCGCATTTAAAGGTGAATGCATACTTGTGTGCCAGTTATATGCAGCCCTGATTATAACAAAGATTGTATCAGAAATTCGGATCGGTATCGGTGCTGATCCAAACCTATTTGACGGATCAGGTATCAGCCATGTGTGACCAATCCACGTCCTGTACTTACTTATTTAGTTTTTGGCAATCTCTAAAAAGATATCTCCTATTTCGTGTTAAATCTATTTGCACAATCCTTCGCACGACAGCTCTTTCCCATTTTACATGTGTTTTTTTGTGGCATTCAAGTCGAACAATAACCTCATGCTGAATGTAAAAGCTGGTAGCTAAATAGGAGCCATTTTATAATTATGCAATTTATAATCCGATTAGTCGACTAATCGTTTTAATAGTCGATGACTAGTCGACTATCAAAATAGTCGTTAGTTGCAGCCCTAGTCTAGCCTCCACTTAATAGCATGTGACTATGTTTAAGAAAAAGGTGTCTGTTCCTATAACACTTAATAGAAGGTGAGCTTATTGTTTAACAAACAAAGATTTACAACAGGACAAGACAGAAGCACATGTGTAGTGTGAAAATGATTAGGGTCCTGTCACCGCGGTTAAGTTAGCCTCATATTCGATATTCAGTTTTCTGGCTTCAATAACTTTTAACGGAAGTAAGGTGGGGCGTTTTTAATGAGATTAAAAAGATGTCCAGTACACATCGATGCACACCGATTATTTTTGCGCTTCAAACCATTTCGTGATTTGTGCCACATTTTTGAATGTTCGAATGTATCCATATAATGTGCAATGGGACAATATATGACTGGGTTAATAACTTTAAAACTAGACAAGACAGGCACATCTAGTGAAGTGTACTTTGATCAGTGGACAACAGGGAACAATGCACACCCCTTCGGTTTTCAGAATAACTTTCTCTGTAACAGTTATTCATTGTATTAAATTGCAAATTATATGCCATTGCTCCATTTCATACATATTGACAGAGAGAGCCCCTCACAATTTGCGCGCTAATGTCGTATGGATCATCCAGGTACTCTGGCATTGTCTCGGAGCAGGTTTGAGACTTCGCATAAATTTCCATAGCAGCATGCCTTGAGTAAAACCTACCCACCTTTCGTAGTACATGTTAATCGCGAAGTTACACCACACGTCATCAAGTTACTTGCAAAGTTACCCCGATAAGCCAGTAACCCCGCTTTGTAGTACAGGCCACTGGTGGCTTGAGGTTTAGTCCAGCTTGTTATGCTTGAATGTGTACATCACATGATTCACTGAGAACTGATTGATCGGTATTGTACAATTTCTTGCAGTTCTGGGTGAGTGATATGGCCAAAATGTTGTATATTTTTTAGATTTGTGGTCCACAATATACATAGTTTTTTTTGTCTGTTTACAATCAGTTTAGAATGTATAATTAAGCATCTAACCCCTCACCCAGGGTTTTTTTTTTTGTTTTGTTGAACTGTTGTGGCGTCCATACCCCCGTGATTAGTATGACTTATCTGCTTATCAAACTGGCGTAAATAGGGGTGTTTTCCATCGCACCAGGTACCAAACTTTTGGTACTTTGAAAAAGTACAGAAAGTATGTTACCTGAATCTGTTGGTTTTCCACTGGCATAAAAACTGGTACCGGTGTTGTGCTCTAAACTGCCCCCCTGTCACAGATTGCCTCCCCTGATGTAATCGCTACAGTGAATAGGGAAAATTTGCTGACTTCTGATTACTTTTGGTGTTTGGTGTGATGTCATATCATTTCCAGCAGTGATGGTGCCAAGTATGAAGCTAATCGCCATATTATAAGTATGAAAAGACAGAATAGGAAAAATATTGAAGCAGAATGACTTCAACAAAGTGTCAATATTATAGGTAAACTTTAAGGAGGGCAATTAAATTGTCATATCAGCCAGGTACATTTAAAGGTACGTTATTCAAGTAAATTAATCTCTTCTTGTCACTGAAGGTGACTGCATTTGCACAAATGAGCATTGTTGAATAGGAAAGCATTACTGTTGCGTTTGAATGAAAATGTAGTTACTGTGACATTTGCAACATTTTACAGGAGATTATCAATCTTAATTTGAAGTTTGATTGTAACATACCATAATAAGTAATGTGAGTTTTTCTTAGTCTGCTTAAGGCAAGAAAAATGAAGTTACAGTGAGCAGTCTCTTCTGCCATGCAGGGGAAGAGAAGTGACTTTACCTTTAAAAGGAGTGATTACGTTAGCGGAGGCAATCTGTGGCAGGGGGGAAGTTTATAGCACAACACCAAAAACTTGGCATGCGTTGCAATTTTAATCATTCCTTTTATATATTCTATGTTTATAAATCAGTTTAAAATTTTACCTTTGCTGCTTTTGCATGAGTGCTGCATATGTTCTTAGACAATCATAATCATTTTCATCCTCACCATTTAAGTCACTTGAAGATGGGTTTGTGAGAAATTTATTAACTTTTTTGTACCCCAATATTTATTACAACAAAATCATATCACTTTATAACAATCACCGTATGCATGCTGTATTAGTATATTCAACAAAATACGTTTTAATTTCTTGTCATGCCATCTGGATCTTTTTGTTGTGTATATATTCTTACGACCTTTTTTTTTTTTTTATTTAAAAAAAAAAAAAAAAACATTTTCTGTTTTCAAGGTGCCGTTTGTATTGTGTTTCAGTGGCAGGCTATTTGCATAAAAAATTGATAAAGAAAGAAAGCATTTCACGTTCCACCCCAAAGTGCCAAAGAAGTACCCCAGCTGGTTTGGCACTTTCAATACTGGAACTTTTGGTACTGGTACTCAACCGGAAGTCAGTGGAAAAGCGCCCCAAAAAGTACCATACTTGGTGCAGTGAAAAAGCGTCCCATTCATCCATGTAGTACCGAAAGCTGGCATCCGGGCAAATGTTTCACCTGTTATCTAAAGCCCTGGTGATTTTGATGCTTGCATGTCTAGTGGAATTGAACAACCTCAACAGTATTGATTTAAATTTAAATATTGTTTGAGAAACCCGGCTTTAAATAATGAAAAAATTTCTTACCCATTGAATATTTGAGGCAGGGACAAGCTCCATTAGTACAGAGGCATAGTTCTTGGGGTTGCCTTGAATATACCCTGCCCAGTTTTACCACCATTTGCAGATGTAACATTCAAATGAGAAAATTGAGTTGAATAGCCTGTAGTATAATATTTTAAGTTATATGTTTTGCTACTTGCGTGCTTAGGCACACACCTGATTTGGCTGTCTGTTTTCTCAGACTTAATAATGCTGTTTTTCTGTGTTTCATTGATACATGTAAACAAAGTGTTGTCGCTTGGAAATGCCTGTACTGTGTACATGGTGTAAGCCTGTTCAAATGCCATTTGTGTTTTGTACTTCTGTGCTGCATGAAATAAAATGTATGTTTCTCATGTTTAAATGATGTAAATGTTGAGAATGTTTTAAAGGATGTTGGTTCTGACAATAAAACAATTGTTGTCTGCTTTTTTTCTTTCTTTTTGAGAACAGGAGCCCCCCTGACCTCCCATTTTCCCCTTTCTATTTTTAGGGGATTGGCTTTTCCGCTGTGTGGATTGTGGTGAAGCCTTTGAGCAGAGGGAGGCCTACCAGGAGCACCAACATGAACACATCCATGATGGTCCCATAGTCTGCCTAGATTCAGACTCACAGTGGCATGACCTTCTTGTTTCTGAGGATGGAGGTCGCCGAACACTCTGCTGTGCTCTTTGTGGTCGTAAATTCTCAAATTCTAGAGGTTTTTTCGCCCATCAACTCAAGCACCGGACTCAACCCCTCAAGCAGGAACCTGTGACTGAAGTTGGCGTACCGGTCAATAAGCCTCGCATTTTTGAGTGCGAAGACTGTGGTAAAACCTTTTCCACTGTAGGCCTCTACCTCAACCATCAACGTTCACATAAGCAAGCATCAAAGTCTGTTTTTCACCAGCTGGCCCATCTGAAGAAAAAGTCCTTCCAGTGCCCTACCTGTGGCCGATGTTACTCACGGGCCTCAGCTCTTGATGCTCACCGTCGTTGTCATGAGGTCAAACTGATCAAATCTCGCAGCTCAGGAACAGAGAAGCTTTCAGTTGCACTGGAAGGTGGAGAAGAAAATGGAGATGATGCTGGGGATGACAAAAAAACAAGACCTGTTTGTAAGTGTCCTGAATGTGGAAAGACATTCCGCTCTTTGTCTGGCTTGAACATCCACCAACGTTCCTGCTGCAATTCTAAATGTCCTGAAGAAAAGCCTAAAGAGGAATTTAACTGTCCTGATTGTGATAAGTGTTTCTTGAGTAGTGCTTCTTTAGTGTGTCATCAACGTTGGCATGTTCGGCGGGCTAAAATAAGCAGCATTGGCCAGTCTCTTTCATGTGAGGAATGTGGGAAGGTCTTCTCTTCACTTACCTTCTATGAGAAGCATCAGAGACTTGTGCACAGTGAAGAAACTCCAGCTAAGTCATTTCTACATCAAGTCTGCCAACTACAGAAGAAGGCCTTTGAATGTCAAGATTGTGGCCGTCGTTTCTCACGTGCCTCAGCACTTCAGTCCCATCAATTATGTCATACTGATGTTTTTGGAGATGTAATTGACAAGGTGTACCAGAAACCAGTTGTCACCCCAACATCCCTGACACCACCTCAAAAACTATACTTGTGTGATAAAGAAAAGCCAGAAAACTTTGCAATAGGAACGTTGGCATATTCCCAGGGAGCTCCTCAGTCATCAGAGATGGATGACCTTACTTGTAAGGATACTAAAAAGGATGAGGTGGAGGGTAACAACAGCATTTCCAATACTGAAATTATTGGAATAACTGAATCTGATGACTTGAGAGAAAAAAATAATCACCTTTTGGTTACAGTACCAGAACCAGCATTTGATTGTGAATCAAACAAGGAAGTCCATACCGATTTCAGTGCTCCTATAATCAAAATAAAGAAGTCAGAAAGTCCATTAAAATCAAAGACAGAGGTTGATGTTAAGCTTGAATTCGAATCTGTAGAAAATGAAGAAATTGCAGATAATCCATGTAAAATAAAGAATTTTGAGTGTCCTGAATGTGGTCGCAAATTTGCTAGTGCCAATGCTATACGCTGTCACAGAATGTGGCACAAGGGTCCTATGGGACGGGCTGCAGGTCATAAAAGCTGGACTCACAAAATTCCAAGCCAGACTTGCCTGAAAAAGTTTTTCAAATGCAATGATTGTGGAAAGGAAAGCCACTCACTTGCCTCACATCGCCATCACCTGCAACAACATGGAGATCCGAAACCTTACAAGTCGCTTTTGTTCCAACTTGCTGGGTTACAGAAGAACTCCTTTGTGTGTGAGGAATGTGGAATGCGTTTTTCTCGAGCTTCTGCTTTGCAGTCCCACCAGCAACACCATACAAAGCCTAAAAGAACCCATAAGTGTCCGCATTGTGACAAAGCCTACTCGAGTCATGGTGGACTGTATAATCATCGCAAAACATGTCATGGTGAATGGTCTAATGAGGGTGCTTCCACTGACCTCAAAAAAGATGTTTTCAATCCAAGGAAGACTCTTCTTGGCCCTAAGGTGTACCACTGTGAACAATGTGGAAAGGGCTTTTGGTCGCTGGGGGCATTTTCTCAGCATAAGCAGTGTCAGTGTGTTGAGGTCAAGGAGAAAAATGATTTGCCTGAGCCTCTAACTTCTATTAGTAACCATCCACGTACAGATGATAAATGTGCAGTTTGTCCTGTTTGTGGAAAGAAGTTTCGTCACAAGGGTTACCTGAAGTCTCACATGAAAATGCACTGTACCACTCCACAGAAGAAACATAAATGTGAGATATGTGGTAAGTCTTACCACATGCTTGCCTGTTTCCTCAAGCACCAGATAGTGCATGACTCTCAAAAAAACCCACCCCCAATCAAGTCTTTTCAGTATCAAGTGGAGCAGGTGAAAAAGAATATGTATAGCTGCCCTGATTGTGGTAAACGGTTCTCCAGAGCCATGGCACTTCAGTTCCACATGAGAAGCCATGGCTATGAAACTGGATATCCCTTTTCTTGGACAAAATCTGTTGCCAAGCTGAAGATGTTTCAGTGTCCAAGTTGTTCTGACCGTTTCTCAGATGAAGTACTTCTAAAAGATCACTTGAACCAGAAACATTCTGAGAACCAGAATGAGTTCAATGAAAGTAGGGAACATAATCAGGAACACGAAGAAACAGTGAGCACTATTGAATCAACCCAAAAAGGGAAAGATTTGCTGAGCGAGTCAGAGAATTCAGTGAAAGAGGTACCTCTAGTCAAGGTCAACTCTGGAAAGTATAAATGCAGTGAATGTGGAAGAGGATTCTCAGTTGTTGGAGCTCTAAATTTTCATAAGAGAATTCATCTCAAGCAACACACTGCTTCAGATAATTTAGGAACTCCTGCTGGTCTTGAGGAAGCCCAAAGTGTAGAGGTCAATGATAAAGATCTCTACATTTGTCCAGAATGTGGAAGGAGCTTCAATACCAATTCTGCCCTGGGGACACACAGACGATGGCATGTCGACAGGAACTTCGCTCTGACTTTGTCAACAGCTGATGTACTGTGTTCAGATAAGAACAACAGTGTAGCTGATGGACCATTTCACTGCAGCCGTTGTGGCAAAGGATTCTCATACTTCTGTGTTCTTAGACGCCACCAAATGAATTACTGTGGATATGAAGGCCAGACTCAGACAGAAGCTCCAACTGATCTTGATCAGGGGCCTAATAATAAACCATCAACAAGTAGTGAATTGACCTGCCCAAAATGTGACTTGACCTTTAATCGTTCTTCACTGTTAGCCTCTCACTATCAGACTCACCATGCCAAAAATTTCATGTGTAATCAGTGCAATGTGTGTTTCTTTTCAGGTGAGGCTCTCCAGAAACATGAGTCACAGTTCCATAGTGGTACAGAGATCCCAGAGAAATCTGTTGCTCCAACCCTTAAGAAACCCAAGTTTCTAGTGTCAAGAAAACGTTATGAATGCCTTGAGTGTGGCAAGCGTTTCTTTAAGATAAGGGGCCTTCGGGCACATAGATGGCAGATGCATCATGGGAGCCGAAAGTCAGTGGGCTCCTTTAGAACATCACTGAAACCCTTTCCTTGCACTGGCTGCGAAAAGCGGTATAGTTCTCAGGGTGCACTGTATAACCACAGGAAGATCTGTTTAGTGGCTAAAAGGAAACTGAAACAAAAGAAGGCTGTGATGATTGACCCAATATTGCCTCACTGCTTTTCTCAGCCATATGGAAAATGCCTTTTTAAGTGTCATAAGTGTGGCAAAGCCTTTCCCAGTGTAGATCGACTAGAGGCCCATAACAATGTTGCTAAGAGCCGGCCACATTGTTGTGCCCTCTGTTGCCGTGGTTACTGGACAGAAACCCAACTGCAGCAGCACTTGGCCTGGCATGACGAGGTGCGCCTCCGCTTGCCAGCTGAACTGCGGTATCGACTCAGCACCTGTGCTCAAGCCGCCAGAGTCCTCTCCCTTTCCAACCAGAAACAGAGTGCAAATCTGCTTCCATCAAAACCTCTGGCATCCCCTGTTGATTCTCATTTACTGGAAGACCACAAGTGCTTGCATTGTGGAGATATTTTCCCGACAGCTGATGCCCTAAAACAACACCAGACTTCACACAATGATTTCTACCCTTGTTCTTTATGTCCACGAACCTTTAGTCAAATCCAGGAACTTGTTGATCATCACCAGGAGTGTATGAGTGAGGACAGAATGCGAACTGCTGAAGAAAAAGAACCAGTGCTTAAGGATCCCCGTAGAGCAAGCAACGAGTTATCCTGCATTGAGTGTGGGATCACTTTTAGTCAGGAGGTGGAGCTCCATCAGCATTACATTGAACATGCTCGAGGAGAATACTAAATGATGTGTGGGGGTAGGGGATTCTCAGAAAGTGGCGTTAAAACAGTATTGACCCTTCGAGCTGTACAAACTGAAGAGGGCCAGAACAATAGACAATAGAGCATTTTCTCTGATTACGATGATGATGACAACCCCCCACGCATTTTATTGAATCCCAGAACATGGTTGATTCTGTCTTTTCTGTTTCTAGTATTTTGCAGTTGGTGTACTTTTATTGTAGTACTTCAATAAAATATAGGTACCTTTTTATGTTGGAAGGATTTTCTTTTTTCTCAGGCTCTATTGCTCATCTCTTGTGCATGAGCTTAGTTAAATGTTTACAAGTGCCCTCAAATGTAGCTGCAAATTGAAGAATGTGTTTTAACAATTAAATATTTAATATGAATTTGGTGCTCTAACTTTTTGATGTTTGCTTTATTCATCTGGCGCTTTATCTGTAAATTGATAATCAGCTAAGCATACATGAGACAATAACCATGCCATATAATGTCATTTGGTTATGCAACTTTTAACTAAATCTTAGCATATTTGATTTTTCCCCCCCTCTTTATTTTCCCCCTCAATAAGAACTTAAATATGGGGCCATCTTGTGGAAGTACTTGTGTTTCTTTGAGTCTCACACAGAGACTACTACCATGTATGTTTTGTGTAAATCAGAGAAACTTGAAATGTTTAGTAAATGTTATACCAAAGTTTATAGAATAGTTTACACCTTGTTCTTATGTTTTGTGTATAGATGTGTATATGTAGTGATTAAATGTATTTAAATGTAACATTTCTTTTAACATTTCTGATCATAAAACTTTGCCCAACTCAAACCATCTATAAGCTGAAATCCCAACCTGGTGGATTTAACATCAAACACGTATGTAAATGTACTAGTTTTCTCGTTGTACTATATATTCATAGTTAAATACTGCTCACTAACGTAGTGTGATCTACTATACGGCTAACTTTTAGCCTGAATCCTCGAAATCATATAGCACTTGTACAGAATGCTCTGGAAATGTTATATAGTCAGAGAGTTCTCTGAATGTTGATAATTGCATTTTCAACAACAAAATCATTTAATGGGTGCTGAAACGCATATTATAAAAAGATTAAAGGATCAATGATGTTTGCTGGAATGATTGCAGTTTATTGTTTGATTTCCTGGAAATTTGAATTTGTTCTGATTTACCATTTTGCGGCAAGTCACTTAACCGATATTACTTACCATTGTTTGATTCAAAACATAAATGTAAAATGTTCGACTTTGTGTATAATTTTATTAAAATGTGCCTGACTTGAAACTGACATTCAAAACATGTCCTTGACTATGTATATTTACGGTTACATTTACAAAATGAACACTAAGCATAGCTGTGCAGTGTCATAATCGCAACAGATATAATCTTCTACCACTTCATTTAAAAGTATGCTCTACTGACGTGATTAGTCAGCAGATATATGCAGTGTATATGTTTACAAATTGTCTTTTGAAGACGCCCCAGTTTTGAAAACTTTAATTTCCACTCGTGTATGATTAGTATGTACATGTGGTATTTCTGAGCTGAGTTTAAAGGCAGGTAGATATATTTCGTGAAGGCTAAAAAAAAAAAAAAACTTTCAATTGTTAGATATTTTTCTTTGATTTATAAGTGAACGTACTTCATTGGGTTGTTTGCAGATGTCTAAATAAATATTCTGAATATCCATTATTCCACATTGGCTTTCTTCCTTTTAATATTCAAGCATAACTGACCTACCCTAGCTTTACTCCCTGGCTGTTTTTTGTTCTGACGGAGTTTGTAAGGACACGTTTGCTTATTTGCCATGACCTGAAACGTTTTAATGTTTTTTTTTTCGCTCTGTTACTGTCTTCTAGTGGAGCTACCAAGCCTGATGTGTCCAGATTGTGAGGAATCATTCAGTAATTGGGAAGCCTTCAACATCCATTTACGCCAACATGGACATAGTGAGGAAGCGAAAAAGCAGATGTTAGTTTTGAACAAAGAAAAGAAAAACACTAAACTAGCAGAGAAAGGAAAGGACCTGAATCTGAAATACCAAGAGGAGGAGGTCTGTTTACCTGGCTCCTCAGAAGCTAAATCCTCAAAAGTTTTCAAGCTTCGTTCTTCAGTGTCTGTGCGCTCGAGGACTAAGAAGCCCTTCTATGGCAGCTCGCCCAAAGTGTATGCATGTGGCACCTGTGGAAAGGTCTATTCTTACTTGGAGTCCTTCAGAAATCACCAAAGGATGCATCAAGATAATCCAGAAAAGCCCAGTAGTTTCAACTGCTCTGAATGTGGGAAAATCTTTCATCGTGCATCAAGTTTAGCTTCTCACATGAAGGTGCACAGGACTCTTGATGACCCAGATAATTTCAGTTGTGATCAGTGTAATAAGACCTTCAATTCTCACCTCACCTGGATGTCACACCAAGAGATCCACAAACGGAAACCTTTTTGGTGTGTGTTATGTGCCAAGGGGTTTAAGGACTCTAAAGGACTTGACAGACATCAACTTGGCCATGACCTCAAGCGGCACAAATGTAACGTTTGTTCCAAGACCTTCCGCGTACCTGCAGAGCTCCGTTACCACTACAATACTCACACTGGCGCAAAGCCGTACAGTTGTGGCCTGTGCTGGAAAACCTTCTCGCAGCTTGGCAATCTAATTACCCATCGTAAAAAGCATGTTGGGGTCTATAAAGAAGGCAGTGAGACTCCCCTTGGGTTCCAAACCAAGCAGTTTGCTGGCAAAAGAAAGGTGACTGTCATGAAGAAGCTGATAGTTGTGGTTAAAGGAGAAGATGAGGAGGCCACAGGTGCAGAAGTGAGACTGCCAGACCAAGAAGTGCAGGATGAGGAGTATGACAGTGAAACTTCAGCCGACAGTGAGGAAGAATCAGGAGGTGATGGGAATGCTGACGAGCAAGAGGGGGACCTACAGTGTTATGAATGTGGCACCCTTTTCAGGGAAGAGTCAGAGTTGCACCAGCATTATATGAAACATGCCAGTGGAGAATTGTGAGTAGCATTAATAAAAAGATGTCTTTCTGTCCGTCTTGTCAGTAACTATTGCTTGGCAACAACAGGGGAACGGTAAACAATTGTTCAACTAACTGATGAAAGTTTTATTGTGTCCCGTCACCAATTTACTTTTAACTATAAAATTTATAGGAACAAAAACACTATAAAATGTAGCATTTTAATCACATTTAAAATAGGTTTTCTTTTGTCAGATTGTTCTGTTATTGGCAGAAAGCTCATTGTCGTTAAAACCATTATCAACATGGATTAAAGCGACAGCGAGCTGAGCAGACTTTCTTCAACATTACTACAGCTTTTCTGTTTAAAACTGGGTTAAGGTTTTAAATACCATCATCATTAAAGAATAACCTTCCAGCACTCAACATTAATTTTCAGTTTAGATGCCATAATCAAAATAATATACTGCACCTGTTCTGTATGATGCAGTGTCATTTTTAAATCTACCAGCCACCTGTACTTATTTTTAAATGCTTTTTTTTTTTTTTATCCAAATCACTTACTAACCAAACGTAATATTACTGGATTATTTTTTCCCCCCACATACATAGGCTAGTTTGTGTGCTTTCACTTTAAATCATCTCTCTAAAAATTTTAATTTTATTTTTTTTTTAGATTGAATAATCTAGGTGGGGTGCTTTATCTTCAATTAAATTACACCATGGAGTCTTACGTGCAGTTTTCATAGTTGCTAATTTTGAAAAGAAATAACCATTATTCTGCTTTTTAGACGGTCTCTGATTTGACTGAATAATGTAAGAAAATATGGACTGTTTATTCTGATGAGCTGAGGCCCCTCCCCTTTTGGACTCCATGTCTAGTACTGTTTGGAACTGTTGCAGATATGAAATATCTAAAACATACCAGGTAATTTGATCACTGTCACGCAGCATTATTTTAGGTGTTGGAAGGTAAACTCATTGACTGGAGGAATGTGTAAGAACTGGCCCAAAATGCTGATTCAGCATAATGTTTATCTGTCCATAAGTGTCACATTTAAATACTTGTTTCCATGAAAATAAAGAATATTTCTTGTTCATTGCCATATTTCTTTAAAAAAAAAAATGCACTGAGTAATCCATTGAAATGGAAATGAAAGTTAGGTGCCCATTCATCACCACAGGAGGTACCAAATAGTAATATCTTACAAACCTAATTGTTTAATTAAAAATAAAAGTATAAAATCGGAATAAGTCTTCAGGAAATAGATTTTTTACCTTTTTGTCATGATTAATATTTCGATAAAATCCTCCAATCTTCCAATCATTTCTCTTGGTCACACTCGTGGGGGGGGGTCTGGAACCTGTCCCCAGCAGCACAGGGCGCAAAGTGGGGGAACACCCAAGGTGGGGTGATGTAAAGACAATCCTTAATGTAAATCATTGGAATTTTTAATTTTAAATTACCATACATTTGTTATGTGACAAGTTTACCTGAACTGTATGACACTCTCAGCTGCTTTATGGGATTCTGGCAATACAAATATGAATAAAATGACCTATAACTGGTTTGTCTTTTTTTATACTTTGCATGGATTCATACTACAGTTTTTTTTTTTGGGGGGGGGCAACCAAGATTGTAACAGTACCATGTAAGCCTGGGAAGTTGTGGGCAATGTATGGGGGTCTGTAAGGAGGTACCCCCTCTATGTACACATGCCGTTCTGTTGCTACCAATCTGCCATGTACATTTCTTTATATTCAAAGTCACGTACCATTGAGAAAAGGAGTCAGTGTCCCTGGAGCGTCTGGGGTCTAGGGGCCAGCTCAGGGGGCCAGTGGTGACATCGCACTGTGAACCTGTGACCTTCCAGTCACAGACACTGTGCTAACCTGCCCTGATAAGGTGGCTTTACACAGATGGAGACTTTCCCAAGATCCCCCCCCCCCAACATCAAATATTGCCCAGGGGTGGGACATGTGTGTCTGTATATATGCAGTTTGTCTTCTCTTTGCCATATTTTGAAGTTCTTCAGCAAATGGGAATTATAGTTTTCTGGGAAGTCCTTCCATGTTGAATAATAATGATGCTGCTTTATCGATCTGTGGGGAGATTCTCTTTGTTTATCCCGTCTTGCTCTCCGTGATGCATGTAGGTGAGGGCAGCCACCTGCCGTGGTAGCCCATGGAGCTGGGGGATCCATGTGACTCTTCTACCATGGCTGGGCTCACCCCACCAAACTTCTGATTACAGGCACACTTAACCTGCTGAGCCACACACTACCCCCGGATGAAATTAGGCATGTTTTGATAAATAAAAACAATCTGCACAAGTAGATTTTAAAAGAATTACTGGGATCTTCTCTGATATTTGTGTTGCTCCAGTCATACCACATTTCTTCATGTCCTTGTGTCGTTTGGTGTATTCCAAACATGGTTTGGTTTGCTAGGCAGTGGTATGGTTAGTTACTTCAGTGCTGTGCTACATGAATGGTGATGGCAATAAGGTTGTTGGATGCTGAGAGTTCCGCCCTCACTCTCAGCCATGGCGAGTGTTCCTCGCCTGCATTGACTGGGAGCACTGGTGCGGGGATCTCTGATCAGCCAGTGGCGGGTGCTGTCTGCCACACTGCTTTGTTCCGTGAGTATCTAACGGTGTGTCTCCGCCCTCAGTTTTCTCTACCTGCTTGCCTTCCTTCAGTCCTCCACACTTATACCACACCCTGATTTTGATTCTTCCACCACTGACAATGACTTAATGCTCATTAAGCTGGCAAATCCAGCCTTCATACAGCTGCTGGACAGGTATGCCTGGGAACCACGATCAATACATCAGGTAAGATGAGAAAGGAACATGGCAGATCAGAATTTGCTGTGCACCCATTTTATACCCAAATCCATACCTATGCACAATGAAACATACAGACAGTAATGGGCTTTTTCTCATTTGATTAATGCAACATCTCTAGAGTCCCGCTTACATCCAATATGCCATTAGAGATGAAGGACATGAGTTGATCCATGGTTTATGAGCGGTGGTCTGTCGCCATGTTTTTCAGGGAATTGTGCAACAGCACTACAATGCCTGGATCTGCCCATTCTTACTAAGAGTGTCAGAATGCATATGAAGGCCTTATCACAGACCGCATGTTCTGTGCTGGCTTCCTTGGAGGATGGAAGGATTTCTGCCAGGTTTGTTTTTGAGTTTCCCTTGTTTCTCCACGTGTAACTGAATTTTAAAATTGCTCTCCTTTTATCCTTCTGAGCTGCAATTTAACTGTAGTTGTTCCAGAACAGTGATGGTCAATGTGGCCACCTGGTTAATGAGCAGTATCTCCTGATTCCTCTCAGGGTGTCTGGAGGAGCTGTGATATGCTGGGGTCACCTTCAAGTCATCGTGTCATAGGGTCACAGCTGTGTATTCAATGGCTACCCCATGGTTTACACCAAAGTTTGCTATTGTGTTCATTGGCTCAATGACATTATACCAAAGAAGTGAGACTGTAGGATGAAAAGTTTTATATAAATGAACTGGCTCTGTATTTCTCTCTCTAAATCTGTTCTTCGGCTTTGCAGTGCCCACTGCATGTGCAGAGCCTGTTTTATCACCTAGTCGCTGTGATCTTTTATTCTTTACACCTTCTAAAGGGGTCTTGGCTATGAGATTAAAGTTTTATAGAGGAATGAATTCATTGTGTTCCCCAGACTCAGCAAAAGCCAAAGGGGCTGTTTCAGGTCCCAGAGCTCATTGAAAGGCAGGTGGTGCCCTTGTGTTCTTCAGCTCTTGTATGGTCAGTGTCAGGCACACGGAACGCTAACACTTTTCCCTTCAGTAGTGCAGATCATGGTTCTGGCTTCCTTCAGTGCAAAACTGAACCATGCAAGGAAAAGTTCAAACTCTATATTAATTACGCTGCTGTACACGTATTGTATATATGTGTCCCTGTGTTTCCTGGCAGTTTTCAGACTCACCAGCACCCTGTAAATGATAATCAGTTACAGAAGATGAATGAATGTGTGTCCTATTCCC